GAACCCGCGTTCCGAGGATTTCATACAAACTTCCCATGTAGACGATCCGAAATAGGCAACAGTCGAAAAAAAAAGTTTAAATTTTTTTTCGATTTTCATATAGTATTTTTTTCTGCTCTATTGGTGTTATCGGCACATCGAAATTCGCGCTCCTTATCAGTTAATTTTCACTTCATAGACAAATCACGACCAAAACCACCATTAAAATGAATCATCATACCAATGGACTCAAAAGTGTATCAAACATTTTTGTTTCAATTAAATTGAAACACAATTTCTATAGTCAGCCGATATTTCACGATTCACTTTCAAGCGAACAGAATTTATGTTGCACTCGCACAAAACTGTATCAAATCATGCATATTTTTTCAAAACAGTACATTGAGCGCGTCGCCGAACAAAGTGATACAACGTTCTGTTACTGGAACAAAATGAAACACTTGCCGCGCTTCGAAACAAAGCGCAACGTAAATAAAATAGTGGCCAACGATTTCATGTTTCATATTGATCCAATAACAGATTGGTGTTTCACTTTGTTCGGCGATTTTTTTGCGTTTCGTATTCATCGGCGAAGAGTCAATACGTTGTTTTTATGCTCACGGGTTCATATATAATTCTCAGTCAGTCAGTCAGTTTTCACACACATTATTACCGTCACAAATGGATGTGATTCGAGTGTAGCGTACAGTTGGATGATACCCGAATTTCATCCGATTCGGACGGGATTGTATGTGAATTAATGGTCAAATGCACCACTGAAGTGGGCAAAAGCATTACTTAATTTAACGGTAAAAAGCATTACATAAATGTTACTTTACATGTAAATTATAATTTTTTATTCTGAACAAACAAATCAAATTCAACAATGGAATTAAAATAGTCATAAAAATCTTTAGTCCGGTAGGCAGCGCTTCAATGCTGTAATTTCTTCGTTATGCTTCGCTTGTATTTTGGCAGCCTCGGTTTTGGATTGATCACGCTCATCGGATGCAGTCTTCAACCGATCACGTAGATCATCATTCTGTGCCTGACATTCACCATGTAATTTTTTCAAATTTCCCAATTCTTGGCGCATTTTTCGATTCATCAACCTGTTTGTATTGTCAGAAACCGATGCAATCTTCTTCACTTTCTCCATGCTTCGTTGAAGCAGACCGGTGATTTCAAGGAATTCTCTTTCAATATTCGATTCAAGACGTTGTCTTTTCGTTGGAATTTCATCGGATTCATTACTTGATGGAGCCGCTTCATCGTTATCATTTGCACCATTTTTGCGAGTTTCATCGAATTCATCAAGCCTATCGGTTTGGTTGGATGTGTCGTACTCATCCGAATCATCGGACTCGATGTCATCGTCATCGTTAGAACTCGTTGCTTCGTCAATGGTTTCATAATAGTTCTGAGCATCCAATGAGCTACCAGTATATTCAGGAAACATGGCTCGCATATGTGCATCAAGCTGCCCGAAGCAAACACATTCCAATGTGCTTTCGAAACGGCCGAATTTGTCTTTGATATTCTGCCCATATGAATTCACCATCTGGTTTTGTATTAAAAATAAACTTCACTCAGAATTTTGCAAAAATTTTATATAAAAAATTGGTTCTTACTTCCAACACTTCCAGCATATCTTTCGGATTCGGCAATGATCTGAACGATTTCAATGATGTTGGTTCATTTGTCGAGAAGATGAAACAATTGCTTCGGGGGATTTCAACGAATTCTGAACCAGAAAAGTAGATGGCTTTAACGTTTTTCCGACCAATCGATATCAATTTCGCTGGCCAATAACTGTAGCCCTTTTCGCCTGGCCAATAGTAGCAACCACGCTTTAGTTCTACCCATAAAACTAGATGCGGACGGCTGCATGCCAACGACTGCCATTGATTCGGTTTGATGTGCATGTTTTTATAACAATCAGCACAGCTTGAGATGTTTTCGATTTCCTTTGTGCAGAAAATTTCCAACTTATACGTTCTAATTTTGTGTTGCTCTGAAATGTATGATACGAAAACAATAAAAAAAAATCGAACTAAAAGCAATGAATGTAATTTTGATTCCCTAACCATTACTGGTGCAGCAAGCGTTGTGAAACATGGTCTTGATGTCCACGAGAAATGCGTTGAAACTGACGTATTGTTGGCTGTTGATTTTTCGGTTTATTTCACTAAGATCGATGAGGTTAGCCATGTGGTTTAACGCCATAAACTGCAGATGAACAGAGAGAAATATTTTGAAAAATGTACAGGCAAAAATGAATTCAATCCAAAGAAAAATGACGTAGTGTGCTCAAGAGTGTATTCCAAATGCCTGACATTACACTTACATCGGAGTTATTTGTAACTTTGACCATTAGTGGTTGAAGCAGTTCCGAAATCGATTGCCTTGAAAGTAAATGTGGAAAAATACATGAATATCGTTCATTGTTCATTGAATATTTGGTAAATCTTTGTCATTACGAATTTCTACAGAATCGAAGAGACTGAACCGTTGTTGGTTAAGTATGAACAGTGAACACGACGCTTGCTTCGGAATTTTTCAGCGATTGGCAAACTGGACAACAAATCAACGTATTTTCTGTATCATTAATGCATGGGTTTTCACAATTTCTTTTGAGGCATTTGGCATGAAATGTGCGAAAGCAACCCAGACAATTGAATCCCCCAAACTTCTTGGGATAGTGACAGTACCAGCAGAACTTATCACGAACGAGCTTGGAAATAGACCAAGGAATTTTATGTAAATAAACAACAATGCGTAGACCAAATACGAATGATAGAATAAACAATAAAATTAGTGGTTTGATTCAATAAATCTCACGAAAATCTTGTGTGTATTACACTCTGTGTTAAGCTTAGGATGTCTTCAAAAAAATACATCATATTACTTACTGCTTCATTCGATTGGTTTCCATTTTCAGCGCCATTCTGCTCTTTAGTTTCCATGTTTTATAGAATCTGCGATCACTTTTCGTCGAAGAATCGCTAAAAATTGTTGTAAAAATCGCAAAAAATTTTCTATTCCAAGATTTTTCATTCCAAAACGTATCCAACACTAAATTTTCTTGCAAATTCACATGTGCCACCAATTGAGGTTAAGAGACTCTAACCTTTTCGTTCTAATTGCAGCCATTGAATCTGACACTACAATTCCTGGAAATGGATACATTCACTGACAGAAAGAGAAGATCTTTAAGTGAATTGCCGAAATTTTTAAAATTTATGCGAAAATTGAAACTGTCAGAACTAAAATGTTCGTTTATTTACTATTTATCGTATTCGTCGTAATGATAAATTGTCAAACAATATTAGAAAAGAAACAATTTTAATTAAAATTTGCAGAAAAAAATTTAGGAAATGAATTATCTTTCAAGAGCTTTACACACACTTGAATTAATCGGCGCTTCTTAATGCTCTAATTACTTATTTTCTATTCTTGAATTACCTAAAAAATAGCGAATTTATTTGAGCCAACTACTCAATAGCATTGGCAGCAATGAAAATGCATCGAGATATTGATGTTGATTGTGCATCAACAAAAAATTGGGTTTTATTGAGTGTATTTTAATATAGTTTTATATATGTGTTATGAATGAATGTGTTTTCAATCGATTGGTATTCAAAATGGGTTAAACACATTTGCTCCGCCCTTTTTTATTCCGTTTCAATTTCCAGACCGCACCGATTCAGTTGTTGATGAGATTTTCCAATGTGTTCTGTAAAAAAGCCAAAAAAAGAACAAAACCACAGAAATAATAACAAAGTCAAGTCAGGGATAGGAGCTAAATGTATAATTTTCTGTCAAACAATCGATTTTTCGAACATTTCATACCTATGTGAATATGAATCCATGCACCTTCCTACAAATCTTTGTACAGCGAACTCAAAACGGATTTGGCGTTATTCAATTTGTCCGTTTTTACTCGGAGTTGTGCTTCGACATCAGACTTTCCTTCGATGGCTGCCTTCAATTTATTTTCCAAATCAGCCACTTGATGGTTATGTTCCATTCTGAATTTATCCATTTGGTTTGAAGCATTTTTCTTTTCCCATCGCAACTCGTATTCGTGGCATTTACGCAATTTCTCCACTTCATGTTTATGATTCGATTCCATCTTGAATTGAATGTCTGAATTCGCGTTAAAGCTATTTTCTAGCTCTTCCTTAGCTTCTCGCAGTATAGTAATTTCCGTTCTGAGATTATTCTCGATTTGGCTGTGTTGTTGCTGGAGCTGTTTAATAATTTGTTTGTCCTGAATGCCGTTCTGAATCTGTATGCGCAATTGATTGACCGTATTACGATGTTCCACTTTCAATTTCTCGGTTTCAGCTGTGGTGCGATCTTTTTCCGCTTCTAATGCGGTTATTTTTTCGAGGCATGCTCTTATTCCTCTGTTCAAATGTGCTTCACTTTGTTCCAGACTTTCAATTCTTGCCGTCTCTTGAGTACGTGCTTGCATCAATTGCGATATTTCTTTCACATGTTCCGATCGTATTTTGGCCACTTCATTTTTCGCATCTAGTTTGGCCTGGTCATGTTCAGCAGTAACAGCCCTTAGTTGACCAAGTAAATCATCATGTTTCGCCTGACAATCAGCATGAGATTTTTGTATGTTTTCCAATGCGGTGCGCAATTGATTCATTAATCGGTATTGTAAGGTATTTTCGGAATTTGCAACGCAGTTTCCGATATTGTTCATTAGTAGAGTGTTGGCTGTTGCTGATGTTGCTTGATTTGGGTTGAAAATCAAGTTAAACTGTGTGGTATTGGAAACCGATGTGCAGGTGGATGTCGCCGTGCGGTTTGATGTCGTTGTGCAGTGTTGAGAGAATCGTTGAACGTTCATACAATTTGGGACTCTATTGAAATTAGCAAGTCCACCGACTTTTCCGAGCTCAAGTGATTTGGTGCTTTGGATTGGCCCGTCTTTTTGGCCCGAATTTGATTCGGAATCACTGCTGGAGTCAATGATTGTAATGGGCATTGTCGAATTGGAGGTTGTATCGATTTTCTTTTCCTCAGAAAGACGTGGTCTCTTCTTTGGAATTGCCTCGTTCGAATGATCGCTGGATTCGTCGACTGTTTTAGTTTCAGATGAATCGCTAGTGCTATCACCTGTAACATATTCTGACTCTTCACGATCATCAGTTTCGGTTTCGGTGGAATCATCACGGTTTGAGCTGCTGTCAGATCCATCGGTGCTGCTTGCATCGTCATTGCTTCCGCAATAATCATGTTCGCTCGGCGAACCGGATCTGAGTATGTCAGGGAACATAGCAGCCATGTGTGCATTATAATGTTTCGGATTGAATGGAACACTTTTTGATTTGATCTGGAAACGACCGAATTCCTTCTGGATACTTCGTCCATATTCAGTTACTTCCTGATTGAACAATGATAAATTGAAAAATGCTGGTCAACAAGTTCGCATTAAAAAAAAATTCAAATAAAAAAACAATCAGCGGTCTTACTTTCTGAGCAGCTTTCAAGTCCTTTGATTTATGTGCTTGTGATTGTGAACGTGGAACTTCATTCGAGTAAATGAAACAGTTCTCGATTGGAATATCGCTCAATTCTGAGCGACCAAAGAAACTAACTTTGACCATTTTATCTCCATCGATCACGGTGAGTAGTTTGGCAGGCCAAAACGAATTGCTTCTATTGTGTGAATTGCATAACAATTTTATCTTACGATCCAATTTCACCCACAAAACTAAATGAGGTTTGCTGCAAGCCAGCGTACGTCCACCATTTGGTTGTTTGTGCTTGTTTTCATAACAATTTGCACAGCTTGAAATCTGATCGATTTCCGATTCGCATAGTTTTACCAATTTTTCAACCGTGGCAAGTTCCTTGTCTGGAAGTATAGAGAAGCAATCAAACCAGGTCACAAAAGAATTTCTTTTAAAGAAATCAAATCGCTTGATTTAAAACTCACTGCGAATGGCGTAGTTATGGTAGATACATTCGATGTCAACTATAAAAGCATCCAAACTCGTATAGAGCATGCTGTCAATTTTCTGTTCGATGTCCTTCAAACCGATCGGATTGATAATGTCGTCACCTTGTAAACGCTCCAAATGGTGGAACTAGATGTAAAAACTGCAATTATTTGCTTGTTTTTTTTTTGCCTCATAATGACTTGCATTACTTACTTTGTTTTTTGCAACTTTTCCCATGACTAATTCAAGTAGCCGAGCGATCAATTGTCTAGAAAATTAACACAGCGACGAAAAATATATTGAAAAAGGTGACAATTATCAGTTTCGTTTTCCCACCCATAGATTAACACTTACCTGTCCATCAAATTATCATGCTCTGACTTTTGCAATAGCTCACAAACTAGACAGACGAATGGATTTCCATCATTATTACAGTCTTTCATACTGAGACAGCTGTCATGGAACGACCGAAAACATGTTGAACAATTGACTTTGATGCGCCTCTTATCACATTGCCAACAAAATTCATCGACCTACAGAAAAATTGTCGAAAATCATTTTAATGGATCAGTACGACGGATAGTGTGAGCCATGACATGATGTCATTGTTTTTTCCCAAAGCTCTTTTATTTTCCTTATTCTGGAAATGCTTCGAAATGCGTGTGAACATTTTGATTCACAGCATGATTTTGTGGTCGAATAAGACTTGGATACTTACTGATTGAATCGATCGGTTAGCATTTTCCGTGTCATCCTGTTCAGTGTCCATATCTGGATGCAATTTGTTTTTATCAATGTCAGATGCGTATATTTATTTTTCAATCGCAACAACAAAATATGCGCAAATGCGTTTCAACATAAATATTATCTGCGTATGACGATTGAGGTTACATCATTTACTTCAATCATTTCATGTAATTTCAAATGACATTTTCGCACCCAACAAAATGAGTACGTTTAATTATGATCAAAATCGCATAGATTGACTGATTCAATGAAACACAATTTGAAAATATAATAAAATTCAACATAAAGAATGTATTTATTGACAATTTTATCAAGATTATTGGCAATTTTTATACAGATATTTTATTTGTATGTCGATGAAATAAAAGCTGTTTCATATGTTTCGCCTTTTAGGTGTATTTTGTGAACAAATACAACGCTGATTGATATTTATCAATTTAATATCAAACCAGCATTTTTTAAATTAAGAATGATGATGTTTCAATTCTGCTGTTTTAATTCTGCTCTCCAGCTGTGTTCGATCAGTTGGTATAAAAATGTTTTTTTTCTGGGATATTCGAAGTAACTTGCAGTATTTTGGATCATGTTTTGCATCTCGTCACGCTGTTGCGAAGCTTCTGCTTCCGATAGGATCGCGTTGACTTGGTCGGTCACATAATCGTCTAGCGGTGCTGCAAATGACTTTCGTGCACGGAGACGTGCAATGATGCGAGCCGGTTTGTATGACCATCGACACTGACCGACATTGATCGCTGTTGTCTGTTTTCTTCGTGTTTAATCGAAATTGATGGATTTTTTTGCCATTCGCTACAATCGAACGATATATATTGCAGCTGACCAGCCACATTTCGATTGATCGAAAACATTTGAGATGTAACATTTCCTCTGGTCAAAACCAATCGAAATGTATCGCGGCTTCGATACAAACGTTTTTTTCAACGTAGATTTTTTGCTTGCGGTCTCCATTTGCTCGTCCATTTTTCTTTTTGCTTGACTTTTGAAAGAATTTCGGAGCAATCTCGATGGAATGTCAAAGAAATCTCGGTGGCGAATCTCAATGGAAGAAATCCTTCAGAGGAATCTGTCAGATGTAATTTGATATAAAACTTGGTCTCAACTTGAAACTCTCAAGTCTTTTCAATTGAAAATAAATCCTCTTTTAATTCGATTATGTAATTTTTATGTCTTTTGCTGGCAAAAAAAATCAGAATGACGTGTGACCGATGGATATCCAAAATCGCCAACAAATGTCCACCGCATAACAGAATTTGAAAGGAATGACGTCAATTCCAATGTATGGTAGGTGACGCCACTCCTAATATGGCGTGTGGATATCAATGTGAGTGTGAGATTCAATGTGAATGTATGAGTTGGATGAAAATGAAGCATTGGAAAAGACATAAAAATGTATGGAAACGTGACAGACCCATTCAATGGGAATTTCATACTAAGAACTTATGCTAGACTCTTGTTCACTTTTGACTCATTGTCGCCTGAAAGTTTTTTCGTATAATTTTTTCATGGTTAATATGATCATTGGTCTGAATGTCCTTAGCAACCAAGAACTTCTTGGCAAGACCAAGTAAATAAATAAATAAATACCAATTTTCAATCTCTTTTGGACTTGCAACTTTGTATCCACATCAACAATTCAATTTGTCACCTCTTTTCTCAAATCATATGACGAGTCGTCAATGACGATAGCCTAAAACACTATAAGCATTCGTAGAGAATTTGTAGAAAAGAAGAAGTGAAATAGTTTTAAAATGGGTGCGTTTCTTAATTGGGAAGTTCGGATCGACCAAAAATGTACGTACAAATTAACAGAAACTTTGCTTTGAGCTACTGTGTTTGACAAAACGAATTTTATTTGAAAAAAACATTCAGGTTAAGCCATGCAATGGATAAACATAAAATGATTGACATAAACATATCGATTGATTCGAAATACGAATAAAGTTTGAAATGCAAGAGAATTTGCTTGAAACAAGGTCAACTGAATTGTTTGATAAACAATTTAAGTTTAATTACGTTTTAAAATCATTGGGGAACATTATACGATTTTGGTGTTTTTCGGTGTTGAATATGCACAATTTGAATGAATTTTAGTTACAATTGGTTCAATTGAATCGGATGAATTGAAAACGGAATGATATTTTGCTGAAATATTGACTTCTTTTCGGCTCTAAGTGGTTTCGTTTTTTTTTGAAAGAGTGTGTTTTGGGGCGAAATGATGATTTTCGTAAGGTCTTCTCGGCTTAAAAAATGAAAAACATAATAAAAACAATATAAAAATGTAAAATTGAATGAAGACGATGGTCATATGCGCAGCGATTCCCATGCAAAGGTTGATTTATTCTTGTTCAGATTCCGACATCATGTTGTCGCACGATTGTTTCTTGTAAGAATCGCTAAAATGATAAGAAAAACGAAACAAGATGAATGAGTAAAGTGGAAACATTCGTAAAAATCTGGCCCTTCATTGGATATTGTTCAATGTAAAACGTTTGAAATTAGGAAAACCCATATCAGGTTCAAGATTTTATATTATTTTAGATTTGTCCAATGAACAATTTTTCCACGAAATGTCCAAAATGCGATTAATATTCTAATGGGTAATGGTCCCAAGATTCATTTTTACTCACAGAAGTTTCTTCTGGCACCTGCTGTTACAAAACATCATCATTTTGTGCTTTGTCCCTTTGCCACAGCCTGGGCACCATTGCTTCTTCTTGGCATCTTCGACGGCCAAATCTTTTTCGCGTTGTGCTTGCTCTAGCCGTGCTCGGTATCCCGCTTCTATGTCGGCCATTGCATGCGAATGTCTTTTCTTTAAATCGGCAATTTCGTTGGCATGATTTGCCTTCATTCGGGCCACTTCACTTTGGAACACATTCGGCTGGACTTGCGCTTCGATGGCATCAATGAGTGCGGCCACATTTTCTTGGAAGGTGGTTTTCATTGATGAAACCAACCCTTCAATCGATTTGTTCATCTGGTGTTCGTATAACAATTCAAGTGGCGTTTTCTGGACCAATTGCAATTGTTGTGTGGCATTGTGGGTGAGTGAGTTAGGAAACGATTTACGAGCACGTACATCAATGACTGTCGATAGTGTTTGATTTTTGGGATTTGCAGCGGCCATTTTGGTGGTTTTAACTGAAGCTCGACTTAGCACAACACTGCATGATTTGTGGCGTGATTGAACAATCCTTGGGGATGCTCTTTTTGACGATGTTTTCGATTCTTTTTGTTTCTGTGGTGATTTTCGCGGACTCATTTTGGTTAGGCAATTGTTTTCCAGAAAAACTTTGATTTTGTTGCAATTGAGCAGATAGAATGATGTGGACCCACGCTTATGGAAATATGATACTGATGTGAATGCAACGACTACAGAAGTCGAGAGTATATTACACATTCACAGACTCACACATATACTGCATCGTACATATACAGATCGTGAGCCTGTTCCATGCGTCCGTTCAATGATCAATTTTCTCTCTTTTAATGTAATTTTTTCCGAATCATTCAAATAAGCGTAAAATGAACGTATCTTTTTCACATAAGAAAACAACAAAAATTAGAATTTTTTAGCGATTGCTTTTTTTCACCAAAAATTGAATTTCAGAATTTAGGAAATTTGTTTTGTTCAATTTTGCAATATTTTCCTCAAGTGCATTGGATACATTCACTGGCAATGATTTCGCATATCGATAACAATTGGCATGAGCGTGATAGATCTATGTCACAGACTGTGTGCTGTGTGTAATACTGTCTCATTCACTCCAATTAATATCACAAATGCATTCGAAGGAACTGTTCAAATTGTTCAAACACAGAAATCGGTTACACTCAGTTTTTACGCGTTCAACGTTTCGGTTGTGCGATTATTTTTACGATTAGAATTTCGTTTTTCATATGGAATATGTTTTTTTTTCCTAAAATTCAAAGAGTAGCGATTTTCACAAAAGTCTCTTCATAATAATTATTGTGGTGTTGACTAGATTGTGAATAAATTGTCGAATTGGAGCTACGTTTTATAATGGAGAAAATTGTTCAGAAGAGTGTCGATTTTTCCAAGGAATAAATCACGTATTTGGTCAAAACAGAAGCCAAAATACTGTTGCATATGCATAGGCTAATTTAACTAACACATTTTAAGTGTGTATGTGCAGTTAGTTTGATGGCAGCGAGTCGACGACCGCTTCACTGGAGCAATCCAACGTTGCGAACTTCGACTTAAGTGTAAGTAGAAGTTGTCGAATAACTGCTTTTAATTTTCATTTTTGATTTTAAAATTCTGTTGAATCCATTTCATATGTTTCAAAAAAAAAATTCTAAATAAAATGAATTTCAGGACGATGACACCGTCAATTTCGAAGTGGTGCACTCGAATCTGGACGATGATCATCGATCCGTTGCATACTCTGATGCCAGTTCGGAGGCTGCCATTCCAGCAGCGACAGCAACAGCAACGGCATCAAGTCATCAACTGGTCAATCCGACTTACAACAAAGCATCGAAAGTCGATCACAACGTGCTAACCGCAGACGTGCGGCTACCACACATGCCTCGAGGTCATCAGCTCCAAAAAAGCGCAGACAGAACGAGGAACGTCCCCGCTTTGAATGTGCGTTGTGTCCCGAAGACTTTATGCAAGAGAGCGCCCGAACGCGTCATCTTGCTTCGGTGCATAGTACCGAGCGGCCGCATAAGTGCACATACTGCGATAAAGGATTCAACCGAATCGATAATCGCAATAAGCACGAATTCACTTGTCAATCTCATCCAGACTATTGCCCATAGTAGTGCAATCGGTAAGTTTCGACAGTTTGAATTGTCGAATGTTTGCGTTAGTCAGCGACTGTGGTATTGATTGGATACAAAGAGTTTTTTTGTTTGACACAAAGCAAATGTTAACCGTGTGAATTTAAGTTCTCATTTCCTCATTTTCCTATTTTTCTGAACAAAACTCATAATGATCTTACTTCATAAAACTTCTTCTTATGGATGCAAAAAAATACGATTTTCTAAAAATCTAACGACACTTTTCATACTATTAACCCTCTAATGCATACAACCGCCTCTAGACGGGCAACATTTGAACGCCTGTATAACACGAACCGTATCACATTGCTTAAAAAGACATTTTTGTTCTTCAAGGTGTCCTCTATAATTTTATTGGTGTACATCATGTGGTTGTCGTATTATAAACAAAAATGTGTGCAAAAACAACAATTTGACAAAATAAATTATTCGAACTCCAAATTAGACAAATTTTTGACACTTTTAAACAATGGATTTGATTGTTCTCCGATTTATGTCAATCGCATTTCCTGACTAAACCATGAGGAATCCAGGATTATGAATATTTTTTAAATTATCTATGGCCAAAAATCAACCAAGTACCAGTACTCCCTGGGAAAAATTAATGCATTAGAGGGGTTAACAATAATTACAATTTTATTCAATTTTATTTCATTTTTATCATCATTCCAAAATGATATTTTCTGTATTTCAGCCACCGATCGAAATGAGTCACTTCAATCCTCAAAAGAAGTGAAATTGTCCATAGCCACCAAAACGCAAATACTCACACACAGTCACGCTCAAAACACGTTCAAGCTTCACACACCCAATTTTGACAGATGCCATCCAAGCGAATGCTCACTGTTCACTCGGTTTCTTCATTCGTCGCCAGTCTTTGTCACAGCTAAGTTTACTTATTGAATAAGTGAAAAAGGGTTTTTTTCTGTTTAGCGATTCGGAATCAAAGGTATGTACAAAAGTGTAATATCCTACTCAAAAATTGCGAATCAGTGCTTTGAAATGTGTTCAATTTTGCTGGAAAAACCATCATTCAAAAATGGAAATTGAAGATGAAAAGTTGATTTTGTTCTCAAAGTTGTGCTTGACACCATAGAAGTGTAGACTACAAAGTAATATTTTGGCTCAAATTCACGAGTTTCGTTTTGTTTTTGCAAGCATTGCGTGTTGTTAATCATGCAACAAAAGTGAAATTTCTATTCCCCTACACACAATTCGACTATTATTATTTAACGAACAAAAATTGTTCACTTAAGTGGTGAAATTCACGCAGTGGCCGACATTTTGAAGCTCAAAACTCCCAATTTCTCCATGAAGCCATTCGTCAATCGCAATTCATTGGTCAGAAATACATTAAAAATAAGCCAATAACAAATCGAAGCTAGTTGAATTATTATTTGCAATTTTCATTTTCAATTATTGAGTGCGATTATCATGACTGTCGACCAAAGTCTATCGTCAACATAAATTTCAATTTGTGCAAGCAAATATCGTTGTAGAAAATGTATTCATGTGTATGTTTGGCATGAAATTGAGATTGGCATGAAAATTTGACGATGACTCATCACGAATCGTTCATTTCATTGGCATGAAAACAATAACGCATTAGTTCAGTTCCTTCTGTAAGCATTGTGTACAAAGCAATAAATTCCGACAATTGTATCAGTATTGATTTGACAAAAACAGTAAACACACATTTCGGTTGCAACGCAAAAACATGCGCCCGGTTCAAATAATGTAGGAATGTCAGTGACAATCGAATTCTTTGTTCTTGTTGACTCATTTTTTCCTGCGCTATCAGTAATAACAAGAGGTTGAATTGTTTCAAGCTGAAATGTAGTCACCAAAAAAACATACACAGTGTGCATTGCATACGTTTTGGTCAACACATTCGCTGAGCCATACCGAAATAAATCAGCAGAGATTTTTCTTCATGCACCACTATTCATGTTGAACACCATGACTGCGAACAACAAGTGATTCAGTCGCTTCTTATTGGATATACTTCACCGCTTGCGTGAAGGATAATGTGATCAGATAACGAGAAGTTGTTGTGTTTAGATATTTTGAAGGGTTTCAACCTTTTACGCCTACCAAGTGGATTTGAGAAAATGATGCTTTTACTCATTGAAATAATGATGTTGTTCCAATGGAAAAGACATGAACAATGACAATTGACACCCATTTGAACAAAATAACAACTTATGAGCTCTTTATCCATAACTGAGACGGAGAAAAAACTTAAAAAGAGACAAATAAAGTTGCGAACAAAAGTGACACAACTCAGCATTGAGCGGAAAAGATGTTTTTTTTGCATTTTTCTCGCTGCTAGAAAGAGATAGCGACTAAAGGTGTCAACGAACACCGACTCTGTTCGTTCGTTCGTTCGTGGG